TTCTAATCAACCCCCACAACCTTACCCAATTACCTCCCCTACCCCTCCCCCCTCTCCCGACACAGGAACCTCTACACGCCGACCTCGCCATGCAGGCGACGCGTAAACGATGATTTGTAATAGGACTACGCTATTTAACCCTGTCCAACTGTACAGTTTTCATTATCCTGCAAATGTTTTGGCCTGATGATGATTCGCTGAATACATATGTTTGCCAAACTTGACTTCTAAATTTATAGACTAGACTATCTCTCTCATTAAACGTGAAGATCGAAAGTTAAGTGGGTGGTTTAGCACATATTTTCTGAAAACATATGTTTGCCAATTTTGACTTCTCAACTTAAGCATGGGAATATTTGCAGAACTTAGACCGTCTATATATTCACTTTAGTTTTCTACCGCGGAAATTTACCGCTTCAAATTACACAAACAAAAAAGGGCTATGCTGAAATAACAAATATTTAAGTGTGCAACAGACGTGAGCGAAAAAGAAAGGGAACTATACTGTAAGCAAACAATACGGCAACCCGTGGTCTATACGTTACTTTTCCGGTTTAAAACAGTTTACATTTTACGTCTTTCAATAACTCCCATCCTATGCGGTTAATACTAATTCCAAAAATTTAATAGGATCTTAGTGTCATGGCGATACATTTGACGCTATATTTTGCAATTGGATACTTGCATAGACAGTGAATTAAAGCGTATGAAGTAGAGTTCTGAGGCAGAAAGGGCTTTCTTTATAAGCAGGCCTCTAAGAAAACTGATGGTTATGTATATATAATGCGTCTGAAAGGGCTGCTAACAGTCAGTGATCAGGTAGTTCCTATTTATATCTCACCCAGACTCTGTCTAAGAGGCAGACAGCAGGTCACCTTCATCGAATCAGGAAGAGTCTGAACAGGCCGCCGGGATAAGAAGGAAATAAGTCTAGGATACCAAATCGAAAACACAAACACTCTTATTCTAAATCGAGAACTGACTGTCTTTCATCTATCACTCTTCGTGTCCTCTTCTCTTCGGGATCATCATTTAGTGGGCAACAGTAGCTTATGTAGTCCCTCTCATTAATCCCTTCTCCCAGCATGTTGTCCTATGAAAACGGTGGTTATGGGGTTTTGTGGGTGGGGAATTAGAATACGCAGTGAAATGTACTTTAATAACTGCTATATGCACTTTTATCTAATTCTATATAGAAGTTTTGTTGATTTGTATTTGTCGATTTTCCTAATCTGTATCATCGTTTACCGTTTTGCGGAAAAACCCGATAACCAAATTGCAGGTTTCTTGATATTCCCGAAAAAATAGAAATGGTGGTTAGGAGGACATCTAACTCAACTTACCTGAGGTCCAAGTGCCGCGCACATCTTTAACTTACGTACGGCAAAACTTACTACCAGTGGCCGCGGGAAACAACTTCGACTACATTTTTTCACTTTCCACTTACTTCTAAAAATTTCCTTGTCTGCCTATCATATTTCCTCACCCCCAAAACCGTATAACCACCGTTTTTGTAGGACAGAATGCTGGAACTAGGGTATATGAGTGGGACTACATAAGCTACTTTTGCCATTTAGTGCAATGGAAATGTGTACAAGATGATTTAGTGGTTAAGTGTCTTTGTCGTGGTTCATTCTGTCAGATCATTTTGGTCAGTCTGCGTGCTGCATCGGTCGTATGACCTGTCCGGCTTTGTATAAATTCGGCATTTCATGCTGGGCTTCAGACTATTTAAAATGATACTTTTCGCACGCATTTTTTTGCTAAAACACTTTAAATTCCTCCTATCCCTTTTAGCATGGCCTGTCGAATAATGTCGTCTTTATTCAAACTACGAAGTTCATACCATGTTGCATTTGTGCTGGGCATGGCCTGTTGTATGATCTTCCTTTACACGGACAGCTCGCACCCTCGGAAACTCTTATCCTTGGTCTTTAAAGACGATTCCTATGGTCCACATCTTAGTAAGTTCGAAAACTGGCATAGCACTAAAGTTCATTTTAAATGTGTGTGTGAATTCGTATTTGTGTCCCATCATTAACCTGCACCCTCTCTGGCCACCGGTCATTTTCAAACGTTAGCGACACCGGGCCCGTTTGAATGAGAAAGGAGATGGTGCAGTGCAAGCCCGCTATCATTATAAAGTACTTCACGCGCAAGAAGTCGTCCAAGCGCACACCCTGCTGTTGGGTGCGTTGTAACGGTGGCACTTTGTGTTGTCACTGTCGAATTACGCCCTTCGGAATACCGAAGGAAGAACATTATAAGAAGGGCATAACTTTGTAATCCACCCGGAGGAGGGTTTATTGTGTAAGAACCCGCAGTTGCTGTCACGGATGGTAGTTGCCGCTGGCTAATCTCTAGCGCGCTGATGTGTCCCGCCATGGGAGCAATGTCCGGTTATGGGAAGCGGACTGACGGTGTCCTCGCAGACCGTGTTGCAACTCACTGTCTGAGATGTGACTAGCACTTATAAGGGATTGTCAAACGCGTTCGGTTGTGGTCTGATTGGGCGCAATGGAATAAGGTCAGCTGCCGCAGAGAACCTAAGTGATCCTTGAGGAACTGCGACCAGTTGGCACGCGCGTAGACTGGAGT